CCCGGTAGTTTGAGCATGTGCGGCCTAAATAAGCTAAACCCCCCTCCCTTACCTTAATTAGGCCATATGTGGCCTAAATAAGCACTCCCATTGATAATATAGTGGAACCTGCCATGAATCTTTTTTCATAAATTTATGGGAATTTTTATTTCTATCCACTCAGAACAAAACCTTTGAAGTATGAAGACGAAGCTGTACTTGAGGGGAGTGCGGTCTTCTTGCAACACTCGGCTGTCTTGCCCTCTGTCATCCAGTTCTATTTTGTACATCATTCAGTATTGTCAAACAGATCTGTTTCAATTAGTGTTTGTCACTGGTGATCCACCACATGGTCAACATGAAGAGTTTTGCTGCTCATTTGCTGTGAAGGTAAGGTAACAAATATATTAGTTAGAATTTCATTTTATCATTTTATGCTTGATTAGAATGCCTGGTGGTGTCTGTGTATGCTGCTTAGACCACTGGACTCGTAATCGTGAATTTGCGAATTCGTGGGTTTGAGGCTCAGCTTGGACCGACGTTGTCCTTGGGTAAAGTAGTTTACAATACATGAACTTTCCCATTTGGCACAGTCTTGTCGAAGATAAGCATTGGATTCAGAGGTTCTGCTTCTTAAATAACATTTACAGCGTTGCAAGGGCAGTTAAACATTTTAAGTTTCAAATTTACAATGCTTGTCTCAGCGATCAAAGTTTAAAACTAAGATCAGAGGGGGAACCTTGTTGTTTAATTCAAACATCATACTCAGGTGATATGTAGGCTATAATTAAATATATATATTTTCAAGCCCTAAATTGTCAGTGGAATGGCTCACTTACAAATAGCAAGCCACCAAATATATAGTTAGGTACTGATCCACTTGATGGTTTGCAGGCCGAAGGGCTAAAACTCAAGTTGCCACCGGATCAGAAAAGTGTCCATCGGCACTTATATGACCTTATTGTGTTGCAAGTGCCATAAAACGCTTACTAAAACTGAAGTATCTACCTGGTGGTCTACAGCAATAATACTGTAATATCTCGTGTCCGGCCTGACAGACCAAGGTCTATCCGATGATCTACTGCAATAGTGTGTTCTGCCGTAAGGCCTGCACAGAATGATTTAATGCTATCACTCCCACACTCTGATGTAGTGCTTTCAAGAAATCAGAGGTGGGGTGAGATGGATTGGCTAGCCCCCCCCCCCCCACCCATGACAAACTACAACCACTAAAACATCCAGTGACAGTTCCAAGCTTTCAGATGACACCACTAACTCTACATGCCCAAAAAATTGACGAGCGCCTGATTCCACCGCGTCGTGGCACATATGTATTTGAAAGAATTGTTGTACATTGAATGGGCCAGTATGCATGAAAAGTTGGTTTAAATCTTATTTTATTGTGAAGCACCTGAGCCACCAGGAAGTGGGTGGTATAGAAGTGATCATTATTATTATTATTATTATTATTATTATTATTATTATTATTATTACTATTACTATTATTATTATTATTATTATTACTATTATTATTATTATTATTATTATTATTATTATTATTATAATAATATTATATTATTGTTATTATAGAGTGTCAAGGGACTAGTACCTTTATTTCACAGTTAAAATTTTTTTTTTTTTAAATTCTGTGCACAGGATCTTACAACTCTTGACATCTCATTTGCCCAATGGGAAGAAATACCACAGCTGTTGAGAAATGTGTCTCTGCCATCCCTACTTCAGAGCAAAATGTCTTTGGTTCGCTCTGGTCAGTGTGTGCTCTTGCGTCACATCATCAAAGAGGCGCATTCTGCGGCACCAGACTCACATCTGATTGACCTTCTGGTAATTTTATTTTGTTTATTCCCATTGTTTTTGCCTGGAGTGTTTGGTTTCTAGACCTCTTGCTACTTTTATTTTGTAAGTTCTTCTACTTCTATAATATTGAAACGGTCATAGTTGAATATTTGTGTTGATTTTTCATGAAATATATAATTTTTGTACATATAAAGTAAAGGACTAATGTGGTTTATAGAGCTATCCTGATAATATTATGGTATGGCACTCTATGATACTCTCTCTGTCTTGCCCTTTTTTAACTCCCAGTGGAGCACAGGCCATCAACAGCATTACTCCAGCGAAGCCTGTCCTGAGCA